AATATGTAAAAAACCAGAAGAGGAAATTGAGGGAAGTCACAAGGGGGGTGGGACATGGGAGCTATATTTTTCTGTTATGTGATATGACATTGTGATGATAAAATCATGCAAAATTTTATAATTTTTTTTTAAAGAGTTGAGTGGAAAATTCTCTCTGCCCTGGGAAAATTTGAGAGATTTTTCTTTTAGCTCAACCTTCGAGGTAGGACTGGGGATGCCCTGTCTGAGATCCCAGAGGGCCACTGCCTGTCAGTGTAGACAGTATTGAACGAGGTGGGCCAATTGTCCGCCTTTATTGAATATTGATTGTTCTGATGAGTTTGCTGTTCGCTTTATTTATGTGTGATATGTACGATAGTGATTGCAACTTTAAAAAAAAATGTTATTATGATTATTGTGAGCCACTTTGAGCTCAACATGTGCTGTCGGAAAAGCAGAACACAAATATTAAATTGGACCAGTGTAAAGCCACTTCTCCTTTAAACCAGCCCTTCTTAAGAACAATGAGAACTGGAAACTTGATTTATTTTCAAGGGAAGGGCTGCAGTTCAGCCCGAGAGCCCGTGCTTTGCATGTAGAAGGTCCCAGACTCAACCCTTAAAGAGGTCCTCTGGCAGAGTTGGGCGAGGCTCTGCCTGAAACCCCGGGGAGCTGCCAGTCAGAGTCTGGGCAGCGTAGGCCGAGATGGACCAGTAATTCAGCATCCTGTGTTCCTACAGGAAAACAAAACAAAAGGAAAACAAGTCTCTGCACCTGGGATACCTGGGCATATTCCAAAAATATCATGGGGGAAAACGAGGGAGTGCCTGGCGATGGGGAGGAAACAATGGCTTGGTTTCAGATCAACGCCAGTGAGTTGGTGGAAGAAGAAGTCAAGCTACACACCCAGGAGTGTGCAATTGTGTGTGTGCTAGGCTGTTCTCTTGTGGGTTGTTTTTTTTTTAATTCTCCGTTCCATGGGGGCAAGTTCCAACAAGAAAGAAGGGGGAGAAATCAATAAACTTCACAAAATCCCTGTACAAACTTTCCAGTGACTCATGCGATTAATCATCGCCTTCCCAGAGGCAATTAAGCAGCTGTCAGATTGTTGACTCTCTGACTCCACCTGGTGGCCGAGAAGGCCCAACTCTACCGACTCTCTGGCACCAATTTGAAAACCTCCTTTCCCCCAATTATCCTTTCAAATATTTCTCTGCAAGGAGGAAGGAAATGGAAAAAGCTTGTCTTTTGACTGTAGGGGCTTACACCTCCCTTTCCGAATACAGTCTGGCAAGTATCTGTTAAGCTGAGCACACTATCAATATGGGTAAGAGATTCAGGAACTATTTACCATCTCAAAGGAATGACCCGGCTACCCAGAAAAGCCAATCAGATAAGGCATTATCAGGTATCCTGGCAGACAGGAGAGAAGCAACACACTCAAATTTCTGTTGGGAACCACCTTTTTCTGTGATGTATGTATGATGTTTTTTGGGGTAAAGGTAAAGATACCCCTGACCATTAGGTCCAGTCGTGGCCGACTCTGGGGTTGCGGCGCTCATCTCGCTTTATTGGCCAAGGGAGCCGGCGTACAGCTTCTGGGTCATGTGGCCAGCATGACTAAGCCACTTCTGGTGAACCAGAGCAGCGCATGGAAACGCCGTTTACCTTCCCACCGGAGCGGTACCTATTTATCTACTTGCACTTTGTGCTTTCGAACTGCTAGGTTGGCAGGAGCAGGGACCGAGCAACGGGAGCTCACCCCATCGCAGGGATTCGAACCACCGACCTTCTGATCGGCAAGCCCTAGGCTCTGTGATTTAGACCGCAGTGCCAGTTGCAATTTCAAAAGTCTATATAAGAACTTGTACACCATGGTTCTGGGTTCCTGTTGCAACAGTTTAATAAAGATCAGGCTTCTTAGCTGCTTTGCTTCTCTATATTCTCTGGTTGGCCTCTGTTATTTTCTCCTACTGATAGAGAACCTACATAAGGACTCTATACGGGCTCTTGGATACCCCATAAAGGAGCAATTGTTTTTTCTTATAACACTTCTTTGATGTTGGACATGGTTTTGAGAAAGTGAGGCATTGGGAGGGGCTGGCTAATGGGGAAGCCAGTCATGCAAGCCACACAGGCTATCTATAAAATTGGACGGTTTGGCAGAGTTCTAGAGAAGTTTGTGCATGGACTGATTGGCCACAGGGCTGTTCAAACTGAGACTACTGCTTCTTGAGGGCTTCCAAGTGGCAGATTGAAGTGCTTGCTTGTATAAGTATACAGCGGTACCTTGGGTTTTTGAACATAGTCCATTCCATAAGATCTTTTGAGTTCCGAAATGTTTGAAAACTGAGGCACAAAGAGCGGTCTGCAAATTTAATAGAGAAAATTGAGAAAAATAACATATACAGCTGTTCGACTTCCAAGGTGTGTTCGAAAACCGAAGGGCCTTCTCGGTGGTGGCGCCCACCCTGTGGAACGCCCTCCCATCAGATGTCAAGGAAATAAGCAGCTATCTTATTTTTCAAAGACATCTGAAGGCAGCCCTGTTTAGGGAAGTTTTTAATATTGTATTGTTTTTAACACTCGTTTGGGAGCCGCCCAGAGTGCCTGGGGAAATTCAGCCAGATGGGCGGGGTATAAATAATGAATGTTGTGGTTATTATTTATTTATTTATTTACTTACTTACTTACTTCCGGGTTTATGGTGTTTGAAAACCAAAATGTTTGTTAACGGAGACGTTCAAAAACCAAGGTACCACTGAACACTGCTTGCTGTTTTAGAATAAAATATTTAATCTTCTCGCTCACTTGTGTCTTCTGTATCGCTTCTGAATCTCATTTTAAAAGAAGCACCTTGCCTTGGGCAAGACGGCCTCTTCTAAAGCCAGCCAGCTTGGTGGGCATTCACAGCTTCCTGAAGCAGTTTGTTCCTTAGTTTAACACAAAGAAAGACTTTATTTGATCTGTCCTGGATCTCCCAACATTCAGCTTCACTGGATTCCCACAAGTTCTAGCAGGAGAAAAATATTTCTCTGTCCAATTTCTCCATGTGGTGCATCGTTTTTTCTTCTTTTCAAAAAACTTCTGTGATATCTCCTCTCACTTGCCTTTTCTCTGAACTAAAAAGTATTGCAACCTTTCCTAAAAGAGTGTGATGGCCTGGGACTCTGGCTCGGACTTGGAACCAGAGGAGTCTCAGTCTGCACCAGACCCTTTGCCTCAGGCATCACCTGAACTTACAAGGGATCAGGACCGGCTGTTACCCCGACAGAGATAAAAGGCTGTCGGACCTCGCCCCAGGTTGCGGGAGCAATGTTGCTGTATGCTAGAACCTGTCTGAGATCCTGTGCCTGTCCTTGCCTGGTTTCCTGCCTTGGTCCTGTTGGACTGACTCCTCGTGGAACCCTTGGATTTGGGACTGGACCTGGACCGCATTACTCAGGTTACCCCCGGGCCCAGCACAAAGAGGAATTGCTGCACCCCCTTGATCATTTAAGGTGAAAAACAGAGGAAGAAACAAGAGCCCATGCTTTCATTCTAGAGCCATTTATTGAGTACCTTGACATAATACAGAAGATCTATAGCTGCAAGCACTGGAGGGCCTTGCCTTCATGCCCCTATGGCAATCCAACTCAACCCCCTTGCAAAGGAGGTCAGAGACAAGGGTTCTGTTGTTCAACCAGCTGCCGTTGGAGAGGTGTTGCATCTGAAGGGGGCAGAATCTTAAGAGGCAGAGCCATTTAATCACAATCCCTCTGAAACCACAATCATTATCCCCTTGGCAGAAGCAGGAAAAGAATCGAGCTGTCCCCCGATTCAAGCAACATTAGCAGATTAATCATATATGTTTTAGTAGTGATTATTGAGCGATTATTGAGGAGTACAAGTGTTATCTCTGAAGGAGAAAAGCAAAATTCCGTTGTGCTTACATGATCCCTGATTGGCTAGGATCGCCTTAAGAATGATGCGTGTGGGTGCCTACGTGGTCCCTGATTGGCCGGGACAACTTTGGGAATGATGCATGTGGGGTACTGACGTGGCCCTTGTTTGACCACATGAATGATGTGTGTGGGTGCCTGGCTGACTGGGATCACCTCAGGAGGAACGCCATTTTTAAAAACTTAAATGGCACGGAGGCAGCAGATTATCAACAGAAGCAGATGTAACCTAGGACAAAGATCTCACAAACAAAGATAAAGAAAGGGTGTTTGTGTGTCTTCCTTTCCCCCCGTCCCTAGAAAACCCCTCTTTTTGTCCTCAGGTTTTTGCGGGCAAAAACTCAGCACAGTCCCAATTATAGGTAGTCTAGGTGCGGGAGGTAGTGGAGGACAGAGGTGCCTGGCGTGCTCTGGTCCATGGGGTCACGAAGAGTCGGACACGACTAAACGACTAAACAACAACAACAACAAAGGTCCTTAATTTAGAACATTTGTTTATGCCAGAACCCAGTCCATCCTGATCTTTCAAAGCATACATAATCTGAGTTGGCTCTGTTGAATGTAGTAGGGCTTACGTCAGAGTAAACACGAGTAAGATTGTGCTGTGAGACAGAAGTGTAAGCCGTGAACCACCATGCTTTTCGAGTAGGGATGCTCAGCGTACATATATATGGTAGCGTGCTAGCATAAATACCAATTACATGAAGCAAAGGGCTGATTGATTAGAGCTGATTAGAAGAAAACCCACCGAGGGAAACAGGCGATCTAAAATAATGGCCGTCATCTAAGAGGCCAGGGACACATCAATGGTGTGCTCTCCCTGGTTGGTTGGGACCACTGACGTAGGCTGATTAGAAGAGGGGATGAGAACCCAGGAAGGTCATAGACAACCCAAAGCAGGGTTGGGGGGACACCTGTGGCCCTTCAGGTCTTGCTGGACCCCGACTCCCACCAGACTGAACATTGACCATGCCAGCTGGGGCTGATAGAGTCCAACAACATCTGGAGGGCCACAAATGTCATCCACCCCTGATTTCGATTGCATGTGTGGATGGACAGATGGCAGAGGAGGTGGTGGCCTCAGCCTGAATCTTTCCCGGGTTGCCTATGGCTGCTCTTGCTTCTTCTGGGCCAGGAGATATTGATAGAGCGGGTTGCAAACCAGCGGCACTTTGTCGCCACACAGAAAACCCGGCTTCTCCTGGGAGCTGGGTTCAGGGTTGGTCTCGCTCGCGGCGCCTCCTGGTGGTCTTTCTGCGCCAGGCTCGCCAACCTCCTCCAATGGCGGTTGGGCTTCTCGGGCCTGTGGGCTGCTTCGGTCACCCTCCTCCGGCTGTCGTTCCATCGACCCAGGGCAGCCACTTTCTTCTTTGCAGGACACACCCTGAACCGGGTTTTGCCATTGTTCGGCTGCCCTAGATTGTTGTTCCCGAGCCCCTTCTCTCCCTTCAGATTTGCCCTCAGCTCTGGGTTCTGTGTTGGGTCTTCCTCGCTGGCGGTCTGCAGCCTGTGGCTCACGAGGCTGGGAGGTTTTGCCATCAGTGGATCCAGGGTCTTGAGTCTGTTGCCTCCTTGAGTCTCCTTCTTGGGGCTCCGGTTGACGTGGCTGGCTTCTCTCAGCCCTGCTCCGTTCTGGTCCACACAGACTTCTTGTGGACTGTCTTGGAACGGGCCCACCTGGGCGTGCTCTGCCTTGCTCCCCATCGCTCCGCTGAGGCTCACGTGACTGGGCTCTCTCCCTTTCACTTGGTCTTTGTTGAGTTTCTCCAGACTCAGCTGGCCTCTGCCTTCCCAGCACCCTCTCTGCAGCTTCCTGCTCTTGTGGTCGTGGCCTCCTGGCCGTGTCAGCACTGGGTGCAACCTCACGTGGAGGAGCTCTGCTCCCCTCAACGTCTTGCGCTAGAGGCTCAGCTTGTCGGACACTGCTTGGCTGAGCCACTTGGGTTTCTGGCACAGCTTGCCTCCTTTGAACGTTGTCCTTGGGTTCGGAATAACGGGGTTCTTCTCGGGACGCCCCCTGCTCAGTGTCACGTGACTCGGTTTGTCTTTGCTGCCCTCTCTCTCTTGGGGCAGCCTCACTGGTCTGGGTTTGCCTCTGGTCACCGTCTGTTGGTTCAGTGTCACTTGACTGCATTCTCCTCTGCTGTTGAGCATCTCTCGAGTCAACATCACGGGTCTGAGTTCTCCTTTGCTGCCTGCCATCTCTTGCAGCAGCAATCCTGGCATCCACACTGTGCAACTGAGTCTGCCTTTGCTCTCCATCGCTTTGTTCAGTGTCCCGTGACACGACTCGACGCTGCTGCTCATCATTTCTGGGGTCAGCATCACGTGTCGGTGTCTGCTTCTGGTCAACATCTGCTGGTTCAGCGCCACGCGATTGGGGTCTCCTTTGCTGTTCGCCTTCTCTCGGGTCACTGCCACGGGCCTGGGTTTGCCGCCGGTCAATGTCTGTAGCATCGGTGTCCTGTGACGGTGCTCTTCTTTGCTGTCCATCAAACCTTGGGTCCCCTGATCGGGTTCTTCTCTGCTCACCATCTGTTGTATCACTGTAGTGTGACTGGGTTCTCCTTTGCTGGCTGTCTCTTTGTTCAGTGTCACGTGACTGGGTGCTTCTCCGCTGCTCACTGTCTCTTGGCTCAGTATCACGTGACTGGGATCGCCTTTGCTCAGCATCTTCAGCATCAATGTCTCTCAATGGGACCCGCCTCTCCTGTTCATCACGACTTTGGTCAACAGTGCGCCTCTGGCTGCGCCTCTGGCCATCAGTGTCACGTGACTGGGTTCTCCTCTGCTGCTCACTGTCTCTTGGCTCAATATCACGTGGCTGGGATCGCCTTTGCTCAGTATCTTCAGCATCAATGTCACGCAATGGGGTCCGCCTCTCCTGTTCATCCCGACTTTGGTCAACATTGCGCCTCTGGCCATCAGTGTCACGTGACTGGGTTCTCCTCCGCTGCTCCCTGTCTCTTGGCTCAGTATCACGTGACTGGGATCGTCTTTGCTCAGCATCTTCAGCATCAATGTCTCTCAATGGGGCCCGCCTCTCCTGTTCATCACGACTTTGGTCAACAGTGCACCTCTGGCCATCAGTGTCACGTGACTGGGTTCTCCTCTGCTGCTCACTGTCTCTTGGCTCAATATCACGTGACTGGGATCGCCTTTGCTCAGTATCTTCAGCATCAATGTCTCTCAATGGGGTCCGCCTCTCCTGTTCATCCCGACTTTGGTCAACATTGCGCCTCTGGCCATCAGTGTCACGTGACTGGGTTCTCCTCCGCTGCTCACTGTCTCTTGGCTCAGTATCACGTGACTGGGGTCGCCTTTGCTCAGCATCTTCAGCATCAATGTCTCTCAATGGGACCCGCCTCTCCTGTTCATCACGACTTTGGTCAACAGTGCGCCTCTGGCTGCGCCTCTGGCCATCAGTGTCACGTGACTGGGTTCTCCTCTGCTGCTCACTGTCTCTTGGCTCAATATCACGTGACTGGGATCGCCTTTGCTCAGTATCTTCAGCATCAATGTCACGCAATGGGGTCCGCCTCTCCTGTTCATCCCGACTTTGGTCAACATTGCGCCTCTGGCCATCAGTGTCACGTGACTGGGTTCTCCTCCGCTGCTCACTGTCTCTTGGCTCAGTATCACGTGACTGGGGTCGCCTTTGTTCAGCATCTTCAGTATCAATGTCACGCAGTGGAGTTCTCCTCTCCTGTTCATCATCACTTTGGTCAACAGTGCGCCTCTGGCTTCGCCTCTGGCCATCAGTGTCACGTGACTGGGTTCTTCTCCGCTGCTCACTGTCTCTTGGCTCAATATCACGTGACTGGGATCGCCTTTGCTCAGAATCTTCAGCATCAATGTCTCTCAATGGGGCCCGCCTCTCCTGTTCATCCCGACTTTGGTCAACAGTACGCCTCTGGCTGCGCCTCTGGCCATTAGTGTCACGTGACTGGGTTCTCCTCTGCTGCTCACTGTCTCTTGGCTCAATATCACGTGACTGGGATCGCCGTTGTTCATCATCTGCAGCATCAGTGTCACGCAATGGGGCCCGCCTCTCCTGTTCATCATCACTTTGGTCAACAGTGCGCCTCTGGCTGCGCCTCTGGCCATCAGTGTCACGTGATTGGGTCCTCCTCTGCTGCTCACTGTCTCTTGGCTCAGTATCACGTGACTGGGATCGCCTTTGCTCAGCATCTTCAGCATCAGTGTCACGCAGTGGAGTTCTCCTCTCCTGTTCGTCATCACTTTGGTCAATATTGCACCTCTGGCTGCGCCTCTGGCCATCAGTGTCACGTGACTGGGTTCTCCTCTGCTGCTCACCATCTCTTGGCTCAATATCACGTGACTGGGATCGCCATTGTTCATCATCTGCAGCATCAGTGTCACGCAATGGGGCCCGCCTCTCCTGTTCATCGCCACTTTGGTCAACATTGCGCCTCTGGCCACTGTATTCCTGTCGCCTGCCCCGATCACACTCCCTTCGGCTGCCTACTGATGGATAACACCTGTTGTCTTCTCTTGGTCTAGAAAGGGACTGTCTTGCCTGGGGCCTTTCCCTCTCATCATCACTGAAGTCAGCCTCCTCAGGTCTCCTTCTCTCATCTTCCCGGGACTCAGAATAACGTGACTGTGGCCTTCTCCTGCTCCCTCTTTCTTGGGTATCAGGGTCAGAATACTGCTGCCTTCCTCGGCTACCCTCTCGTAGAGCAGATTCTGGGGCTTCTGGCATCCTCCTCTCAACATCTCTGTCCAAAGGCTCAGGGTCATAATACTGCTGCCGCCTCTGACCATCACTTCTTGGATCTCGTTCACGTCTTTGAGGCCTGCAGGATTCATAGTCACGAGGTTCAAGGTCACCAGACAGGGGTCTCCTCCTCCTCAGATTCTCCTCCTCTTGGGCGTCATCCTGATGGTACTGCTCCCGTCTCCTGCCATCTTCTGGGGTTTGTGCATGTCTTTGGGACCTCCTCCGGTCACCCTCTCTGAGCTCTGACTCACGAGATTGGGGCCTTCTCCTCTCACCATCTGTAGGTTTACGTTCGTAAGGATGGAGCCCACTCCACTGACGCTCTCTGCGTTCTGGATCACGAGACCCTCGCTGGTCTTCAAGCTCTTCTCTTGTGGTTGACTCCCGTGGATAAGGTCTGTTCCACTCGTCTTGATCCACAGGCTGGCGCCTCCTCCGTTCAGATTCTCTTACATCAGGCTCATGGAGCTCAGCCTCTCTAGACTGAGCTGTGTATCGTCTTCTCTGCTCATCCACTCTGTAGTCAGGATCACTAGACCTGGGTCTCTCTCTGTATTCTTCCTCAGGCATCTGAGACCTTCTCTGCTCTTGTTCTGCATCACGGGACCAAGATCTCCTCTCACCCTCTCTAGGAAATGAGTGGCGTTCATCATCATAGTCTACTGGTTCACGGTCAGATCTTTGATCCCTGCGCGCATCAGATACACGCTGGTCACGTCTGCTAGACCTCCGCTCAGCTTCACGTACGTAATCGTCCCTCCTTGCATCTTCCCGTTCGCGGGGTTCACGGGATGGGCGAGTTCTTCCATAGTCAGATCTGATTTCCTGTACTGCACGTCGACGGTTGTGGCTTTCTTCATCTATCCGTGGTCCAGACACATGTGGCCTTCTCAGGTCCTCTTCCTCCTCCAGTTGACGCTCAGTCTCTCGTGCTTGATGTCGCCTCTCATCTTCGTCTCTTTGTGTGGCCTCTTGGGAATATCGCTCACTTTCACCCCCTTCCCGTAGCCGAGGATCACGTAGCAGAGGACGTCTTTCACCATCTTCTCTCTGGACACGCTCCCGCGATTGGCGCCGATGGTCCTCTTCCATCTCTGGTTCTCTACGTCTTAGTTGACGACGGCCAGCGTCACTCCTACGTGGCTCATCTCCAAGAGGCTGCTGACGAGTCCCCACATCTGCCTGCTCTTCGGACTTACGTGGCCAGTCCTCATGCTCATTTTCTGAATCCTGAGGCTCATGGGATGGACGGTCCCTCCCACGATCATCCCTCAACTCCTGATCACGAGCATGACGGCTCCTCTCAACTCCTCGGGCAACAGCCTCCCGTGGAAAGGATTCTCTTCTCCCCTCGTCTCTAGCGACAGCTTCCAGCTGATGAAGTCGTGTGCGGTCAGAGTCCCGCCTCTCGCGACCATAGCTTCCTTCCCTTTCATCCTCCCTTAGATGGCGATCGTCTCGTCCTTCCCCTCGAGCTTCCCTTTCACGTAAGGCTCTACGGGCTTCTCCCTGCTGAAGGAGGCATTCTCTGGGCTGCAGGTGGCTGTAGCAGGCCTTGGCCACTCTGAAGATGAGCAGCAAGTACTCGTTGAAGTCCACCAAGCTGTCCCCATTGATGTCCAGCAACTGGAAGGTCATCTCAACCGTCTCAGGATCAGAAGGGTTCTGAAAGATGGAGAAGGCAGAGGGCGTTACCCTTTAGCTCTGTTGAAATCCTGTTCCTCAGCAAAAGTCCTGATATCCCTAACCTTGGTTGTGTTAGATATGTTTTTGGAGAATTACCGTATTTTTTGCACCATAACACTCACTTTTTTCCTCCTAGAAAGTAAGGGGAAATGTCTGTGCGTGTTATGGAGCGAATGCCTGTGGGTGGCGGGGGGATCTGCTGCAGTCGTGAGCAGAGGATCCATGGTTCCCCTTCCTTCCCTCCTCCGTGGTTACAAAGCATGGATCCACATGGATCCTCAGGATTTTTGCATTGGGCTACTCCAAACTCACTGTCAGATCACATGTCTGTGGCCACAGCATGAACCACAAAAATCATATATCCACTATTTCGTTTAGAATATTTTTTTTCTTGTTTTCTACCTCTAAAAACTATGTGCGTGTTATGGTCTGGTGCGTGTTATAGAGCGAAAAATATGGTAGATCTCAAAACTTAAACAGCTGTTGAGCCGTAGTAGCTTAGAACTGGGATACCTTGCAGAATTTGCATCCTGAGCAGTGGCATGGAAAACGTTGGCAAAATGCTCTTTTATCTTTTTTATTTTTATTGGAAATTTTATTTACAACATAACATAAACCCCTACCCCCCCCAATACAGAAATCCACCCTCATTAAACGTGAACATAACCTACAATAAGCATAACATACAGCAATACAAGCAACCAAATAAAAGACTTCCTTTATCCTGTATCTGGCCTCCTTATTTACTTCTTATAAGCTGTTTCCTTTATGAATAATTATTAAGATTTTTCTAATTATAACTTAAATATCCACTTAAAGTCTCCTGCAGACATTAATCAAAACAAGTCCAGGTGTGTATTTTAGGGCACTGTTTTGTGAAGTATTCTCTGCATTTCCCCCATGCTTTTTGAAACTCTTGTCTAGTGTGATCTCTAATTGCCTCTGTTAATCTAGCCAGTTCAATATACTCTAACAGTTTGCCTTGCCATTCCTTTTTTGTTGGCACAGTTTCTTTTTTCCAGTTTTTAGCAGTTAGGATCCTTGCCGCTCCTGTGGCATAGAGGAATATTTTCTGGTCTTCTCTCGCTAGGCAAAATGCTCTTTTAGATCAAGCAACACAAAAGCGGACAACAGATAAAGGACCCATTTGAGAAAGTATGGAAAGGGCTTATGGACTATACAAGTTAAAAGGTTAATTCCTCCAGGGACCTTCTGAGTTACCTTCTTCACCTCGAAACTCCATAAAGAAAATATACACATGATGGAAAGTATTACGATGATCCGTGCATATTGAACTGCCTTGAGCCTGTTGCATCTGTTTCGTTTGTTTAACTTATTTATTTTTTCAATAAAATTACACACAGCTTGACTGTAACCCCCCAGACCCTCAAAGCAGGTCACAAAAAAGGTAAAACAATAGATTCATCAATAAGAAGAATTACCGAATTTTTTGCTCTATAAAACTCACTTTCCCCCTCCTTAAAAGTAAGGGGAAATGTGTGTGCGTCTTATGGAGCGAATGCAGGCTGCACAGCTATCCCAGAAGCCAGAACAGCAAGAGGGATTGATGCTTTCACTGCGCAGCGATCCCTCTTGCTGTTCTGGCTTCTGAGATTCAGAATATTTTTTTTCTTGTTTTCCTCCTCCAAAAACTAGGTGCGTCTTGTGGTCTGGTGCGTCTTATAGAGCGAAAAATACAGTAATAGCGATTTAAATTTTTCCAGAAAAATGAAATAACTATAGACTAAAACCAGGTTAATTTGGAATTTGCACCTTCAACAGAGTGCAATAAAGGTTTATTCATTTTTTAAATAAGAGGAACAGTCCTGATTGCACTATCCTTGTCCCTGGCAGACTGGCCAATACTCCCCCCCCCGCCAATTGGTACTTCTTTCTCCATCAGAACTCCAGCTCACCTTGATGACCTCACCAAACTCCTTCAAGATGAGTCGCTTCATCTCCCTCCTGTTCAGGGTGGAGCAGTCGCCATGCCGCTTTGCATACTTGTAGAAGACCCCAATGATAGTGCAAATGCTGCCCAGGAGGTAAGGCATCTTCACGACAGTTCTGCTGGGACTAGTCAGAGAAAGCGCCACCATTAGCACAGGATATTCCCCCCCCCAGCGCCCCTGAGAGCTGAAACAGATGGCTTAATTAAAAAAACCACAACCTTTTTTATTGAATTAAATAAATAATTTCAACAGTGTAAATGAGTTTTGGTGGATGTAATCATGGAATACTGAATCATTTAGTTTATGTAAAATATGCAGGGACATGTTATGCATAATAATAATAATAATAATAATAATAATAAACCTTTTATTTATATCATGCCCTCCCCAGCCAAAGCCGGGCTCAGAGCAGCTAACAAGAGTAAAATAATACAACATTCTAAAATCATTTCATTATAAAATCAGTTCAAATCAGATTAATGGCAACCATTGGGCTAGAGTTCTGTGAGGATTGCCAAAGGAGGGGGTATGAACCATGGAAAGAGAGGAAGGGAAGTCATTGATATTCTAAGGTTGTTTAAATGAATATTCTAAAATGTAAAACAGAAAATTTAATAAAAAATAAAAACGGAAAACCTTTTTACTGAGATAGACTTACTGTATTGGGGAAAAATATTCCATAAACTGAAAATCTCTGTTCGGTCCAGTGCAAATGACAGGTTTTAGGCACAATGAAAGCATACCGAACTCTACTTAGCTTTGCAAATGTGCTAGCAGTTTTATTGCTGCACCACTAGGAGTTTGCTTTGCTTTAATATCATTTATGCATACGGACCGAGGGTTAGTTCAGTTTATGCTATAGAATGGGCTACATGAAAAGGCAATCGATAAGATACAATACACTCATGCACTATTATTTTATTTTATCTTATTTTATCATAGTTCATTCTTACCATATCTCTGTCTAGATCAGTGTTTCCCAACCTTGGGCCTCCAGCTGTTTTTGGACTACAACTCCCATCATCCCTAGCTAGCAAGACCAGTGGTCAGGGATGATGGGAATTGTAGTTCAAAAACAGCTGGAGGCCCAAGGTTGGGAAACACTGGTCTAGATGGTGTACACATAATAAGAAGGCAAGAGAATTAGGACAAACATTTTTGTTTGATCCACCATGTGTTCAACATATCGGTAAAGGCCTCTGCGTTTTCTTTCCCAAATACTTGTTAAATCACAAGAATATTTGACCACTAATAATGAAACATACGTTGTAGATATTTTTCAACATTTATTATGCTATTTTTGTGATATACAAATGACATGAGAAAACTTGGTATACTTATTTGTATAACATTCTTGCTTATAAAATAAAATAATAAAATAAATAAAATAAAATAAAATAAAATAAAATATATGCTGCCTTCATGTTCCATGTCTGCATTGATGCTACTTAGTGATATTCTTCTGGCATCACCCAACCCCCCTTCTCATTCTTATTTTCCTCTGTAAGTTTTTTTTCTTTTCTTATTGTTGTAAAACTTCAACTTTTGGTTGGCATGGGAGATATGTCTGGCTAATTTACTAGGAATCCCATCCCATTCCTCCCCAATTCAGAAAAGGGTTAGAACAAGCATGTGGGGGTTGTGTGTGGTCAGGCAATTGTGGTCCTTCAAGTCTGCCTGCTGCAGGAGACTCTTGAGAGTCCCATGGACTGCAAGAAGATCCAACCTCTCCATTCTGAAGGAAATCAGCCCTGAGTGCTCACTGGAAGGACAGATCCTGAAGCTGAGGCTCCAAGACTTTGGCCACCTCATGGGAAGAGAAGACTCCCTGGAAAAGACCCTGATGTTGGGAAAGATGGAGGGCACAAGGAGAAGGGGATCACAGAGGACGAGATGGTGGGACAGTACGGAAGTACCGGAACAGGTTACTTCCGGGTTTGCCGCTCGCGCATGCGCATGAGCGCAAACTGCTCCACGTGCGTGCACAGAGAGGCGCTTTGTTGAGCGTCCAGGTCTCCAGAACGGATCCTGGACTCAAAACAAAGTACCATTGATGTACAGATGGTATATTACACCCGTGAAATTAGCTAAAATGTATAAGACAAATAATAAATGTTGGAAATGTAAAGAAAAAGAAGGAACATTTTATCACATGTGGTGGGAATGTAAGAAAGTAAAGAACTTCTAGGAAATGATATATAACAAGATGAAAAAGATGTTGAAATAGACATTCTTAAAAAAACCGGAAGCATTTTTACTTGGTATTATAGGCCAAGACATTAATAGACAAGATGTCAAACTGTTCTTATATGCAACAACAGCAGCAAGAGTATTGTTAGCCCAGAAATGGGAGCAAGAAGAAATTCTGATGAAAGAAGAATGGCAGACGAAATTAATGGACTATGCAGAAATTGGACAAAATGACAGGAAGGATTCGAAACCTGTGGGACCAGAGATTTACAGAAGATTGGAAAAAGTATATGAATTATTTGAAGAGCAACTGTAATCAACAAATTACGCTAGTAGGACTACAAGAAGTTTTGTAAGGAGAAATATACGAAGTGTTACAAAGTAGAAAAAGATAGAGATATTGGTTATGAGTTTGAAATGTAATAGGGAAAATACGAAATGCATACTAAGAGATTAGATTGGAAAATTTTCAGACAGGACTGATGGAAGTCAAAGAAATTGAATAAGATGTAAAAGTACGTTTGTTTACTGTTGAAAATGATATGTTAAAAAACTAATAAAAATTTATATAAAAGCAAACAAACAAAACAAGGTACTACTGTACTCCCAAGATACATACACACTCCTTCAGAGGGAGTGTTACCCCACCAAGTGCATGCAATCTGAATTGTATTAGTTCCCCTGCTTCAAAACAGTTCATTGGCACATTAAATCTGCATGAATAGGCATGGGAGGCAAAAATAAAGGCTCTGAACAACCCCTCCCCCCCACCCCCCCCACATACACAGCAACTATGGATGTCTCACTATCAACATCATTACCCACAAAAACATCCAAACATAAGAAAATAAATAGAGCATTGGTTCTTGATCAGGTCAGATTTGTTTGTGAAAGATTTAAGCATTTCCCAATGAACTGGGATGAACTTAGATGAGATGAATTTAGGCTAATCCACGCATGCAATAGGAGTGAATGGGCTGCTTCCGCTCCTGTGAGGCAGAGGACCTTTTGCATCCTGCCCAGTTTGTCACCCAGCAACGGCAGATGAATCAAGCTGAGAGGCTGTTCTGTTACTAAGCAGGATAAACATACGTTTAATAACACTAATTAAAGGTTGTAGCCAGCTTAAGTTCTACTCAGAGCAGATGCATCAGAATGAATGCACACGGCTGATTTAGGTCCATCGTGTTCAATAGGGCTACACGGAGTAGATCTTTGTTGGCTACCACCCTAGGACCCTGCCAGAGAGATGCTGCCAGCCAGTGTTGACAGTACAGTCGTACCTTGGCTCTTGAATGCTTTGCGTGTTGAACGCTTTGGCTCCCGAACGCCGCAAACCCGAAAGTGAGTGTTCCGGTTTGCACACATTCTTTGGAACCCGAACGTCTGACGTGACTTCTGCAGTTTCCGATTGGATGCAGGAGCTTCCTGCAGCCAATCGGAAGCCGTGCCTTGGTTAGCAAATGTTTTGGAAGTTGAATGGACTTCTGGAACGGATTCCATTTGACTTCCGAGGTACCACTGTACTGAGCAAGACGGACAAGTGGTCAGTATAATGCAGCTTCCTGAATTCCTAACATTCTAAAACCTTTTCTGAAATGGAGTGCCTATTATTATTATTATTATTATTATTATTAAAAATTGTCTAGAAACAGTTGCATAGAATTAGAAAACACTGAGTAATATCCAACAAAGGCCACATTTGCACCATACATTTAAATTGTTATGACACCACTGTAAACAGTCACGGCTTCCCCCAAAAAACCCAGGGAGCTGTCATCTGTTAAGGGTGCTAGGAGTTGCTGGAAGACCCCCTGCACCTCCCTCTCTGGGCTACAGTTCCCAGAGTGGTCTAACAACCAACCCCTCTTCACAGGGAGCTCTGGGAGTTGTAGTTCACAGAGGGGAATAGGAGGGGTAGTTTTCCCAATAGTGATGTATGGAAGTGAGAGCTGGACCATAAAGAAGGCTGATTGCCGAAGAATGGATGCTTTTGAATTCTGGTGCTGGAGGAGACTCTTGAGAGTCCCATGGACTGCAAGAAGATCCAACCTCTCCATTCTGAAGGAAATCAGCTCTGAGTGCTCACTGGAAGGACAGATCCTGAAGCTGAGGCTCCAATACTCTGGCCACCTCATGAGAAGAGAAGACTCCCTGGAAAGGACCCTGATGTTGGGAAAGATGGAGGGCGCAAGGAGAAGGGGATGACAGAGGACGAGATGGTTGGACAGTGTTCTCAAAGCTGCCAGCATGAGTTTGACCAAACTGCGGGAGGCAGTGGAAGACAGGAGTGCCTGGCGTGCTCTGGTCCGTGGGGTCATGAAGAGTCGCACATGACTAAACGACTAAGCAACAACAACCTCCAAGTGAGAGAAGGAATGCATCTCCAGCTGGGCTTGGGAATGTCACTGCTTCCTTAACACCCCCACCCCGCCCCAAGAGCCACTAGCAGTCAGTGTAGACAACACTGAGTTAGATGGACCAACAGCGCAACACAGTAGAAGGCACCTTCCTACGTTCCATGCAGCGGAAAGTTCTCTCCAACGTCCCTGCTGTCCACTGATTTCCCCCTCCACCCTTCAGGCTACGACAAGGCTACTCACCTGGCTCTGTAAAATCAAATGGTTCAGAGGCTTTGGGGAAGTCGCTTTCGTTGCCCTGTGGAGCAGGTCCCTTTTTATACGGTTCTTAATTGTGCCGGCAGAAGGGTGGCGACACCCTCCTGGGATGACGGTCTGATTCATCTCCAGCCCAGCCAGCCCAGCCAGTTACACCTTTGTCGCCTCCAAACGGGTTGTTTAGCTTTATATATATTTCTATGTTTTCTGGCTCTTCTAAAACCAATCCGTCATATATATATATATATTAAAAAAACCTAAAATAGCATCATCTGTTCTGTGGCAACAACCAGGG